TATACTACTTCATTTTTTAATTTTATACAAAATTATAACGTAATATAATATTTTGTGCATAATGTCCTATGCCTAAGTCTAATAGTTATTTACATTTTTAATTTTTTATGTAAAAAATGACGTTTGCAAGACAAAATATCTGCCAATTTCTTCATTCGGAAGCATTTCTTGTCTCACTTGAGTAAATTTTGTTGTCGATGAAGGACTCGAATAACGGATTTCATAAGAAATTTCGATACATACTAATGCAGGGTAAAAAACTTTTTTTTTAATGGAAACTACCCATTTTTATAATCTTGTCATATTTAGCATTAAAAATTAACACAATTTTTTAGGGTTGTATATGCCCAAAGCTTCTACAAAATATTTGCTTTTAAAAATTTGTCTATCGCAAATAATATGATGTTGAAGTTCAGTTAGTGTAAGGTGACTATGACGGCGTTTGAACAACACACATAAAAGACGCATGTTATACAGATAAATAGTTTCCATTAAAAAAAAAAGTTTTTTGGCAATTTTTTTAATTTCATTTTTAATCTTACTTTTCGCGTACCCTGTATTATTATGTATCGAAATTTATTATGAAATCTGTTATTCGAGTCCTTTGTCTACAATAAAACTTACTCAAGTGAAACAATAAATGCTTCCGAATGAAGAAATTGGCGGATATTTTACGTCTTGCAAACGTCCTTTTCCACCTAAAAGATTAAAAATGTTAAAAATGAGTAGACTTAGGTATATGACATTATACAAAAAATATGTCTAAAATTTTGTATAGAATTCAAAAATGTAGTAGTATACCAGGTGTTCTTTTTAAAATAAGTTGAGACTCACCCACGAAACATTAAAATAAATTAAAGGTTTGTAATAAGGTAGTTTCCCAAGATAAACGCCCCACCCTATACATTAATGGTCCACAAACCACTGAAACACAACTGGGGTTGGTTCTCTGAAACTTTGTCGTTAAGTTCGAATAAACCATTGAGTTTTATGTCTTCAATATAAGTCAAAGGACGGAGCACGCTTACTGTACTTTCGAAAATAGGAAACAGTATTGGATAATGGCCAATCGATATTTTTTCTTGCCTTTTACCTATCAATCAATCAATAATAACTTGACAACTATGACTATGACAACAAATATGTATGGAAGTTTTTCGTTTATTTCTTAGGCATCGCAAACTTATTTAATAAGCTCTTCCTTAGGCAGGTCAAACAACCATTTTGACAATACATTTGCTATACCGATCGATTTCTCCCAATTAAATATTGTCACATACTTGTAGTCGACAACAGTCAAATGCAGATATGAAAAATCGGCTTCGTGGGTATTATTTAAGAAAAAGCAATACAATTTCTTTATATTTTTGGAAAGCAACAAATTTTCTAGTGCCACTTTCCAAAGAGTATTATTCCTTTCATCATAACCTTGTTTTTTTAATAATTCTCCGTAAGCTCCTTATGTTTTTATAGCGCTTCGGTGCATAATTTCCAAACGAGAAAAGGCAATAGAGCTTTCAATGTCCCGTAGCGTGGAAGCAATTCTTTAAAAACATTTGCCGGTTATTGAGAAATGAACGAAATTAATGATGAAAACCGAATTTTTCCTACTTACTGTTTCATTTTAAATGCTAATCAGTTTTCGTTGTGGTGTATCTTTCAATTATTAGATTAAATTTTTGGAATTTTCTTTAAAATATTTGCTGATAACGCTTTGTGATTTGTTTGCCATTGACTAACCAGTTTTTCATATCTTTCACCATTATTAGCATCACAATTACCTGTTATTGATCTAAAAATTGATCCTATCTTGTTAAATATATTAAAATGGGGGACAATTTCCATTATTTTTTGTTCAAACGTGTCTATTACGATTTCATTATGCTGACTAATTGGAAACTAGATATTTTCATATTTAACGTGAAGTGTTTTAATCTCTAGAATTACGGGAGTTGAATCGTGGTAAAATGATAACAAGAAAGCGAAATCTTGCACTTTTGCGGTGCCTAGTTTTTAATGGATTTAGGCCGACGTTGTCTATTTTTTTTTAATGTTAATTTTATATGCGTCAGTCAGGAATATTGGATACATGACTTTGAAACAAGAAAAAATTTACCAGTTAGCAAAACTGTATCTTTTTCTCACAGCGTCTTTACTAGCTTTACTAACTGCTAAAATCTTCAATGGTTTGGAGAATTTATTAGTAGTTTTGTGTTTAATTTGATTCCTTGTTTACGTTTATTTTATTAATTATATTCTAATATTTTGTTTGTTTAATTTAGAATACAAAAGCTTCCTCGTCTCTAAAATGTTTAGTAAAAAATATCTAAATGCTTAAATATATTCAACTGCCCGAGTTGTAACAATAAAATTCATTTTTTTTTTTCAAAGAAACTTCCACAGGCTGTTATAATACTTTTTACGAAACTTCTGAATTCCTCCTGCGTCGGTTTTTCTGAGTTGAAATTGCAGAGCTTGACTGAAACTGGCTCGTTCCATTAAAAAATACTCTTTACCACAACCTTCCGAAAGCAATGAGACCGAAAGCAATCCTACACTTGCCACTGTGGTCCTTCCTTACATTCCAAAAATTTCTCAACATATTCGGTTTTGTAAAAAGTAATAAAATTCAATATCTGGGGGATTTTGAACACAAAGAATTCAAAAATGCTAACGGAAATGTCCGATTTACAACTTTTTCGCCGCAAGTCATAATTTTGTTATTGTAAATGGAATGTGCCATTTGTTTTTGTTGCAATAAACTGAACATGTCTGGTACGGCAAAACTGCTATTTTGGTAAAAAATATCGGAATGCTTAGTTCTCCAAAACTGTCAAAGCTGGAGCGATAAAATTCAACACCTGGAGGTTTTTAACATGTAGAATTAAAAAATGATGCATTAAATAATTTTTTTGACATGTTTTTTCGGAACTGTATACCAAAATGAGAATCACGATTGTCTTGTGAATGCATATAAGAAGTTGACTTGGCTTAAATTTTGTAAATATTTAACGTTATCTTCTTGCATAACGAATTGTACTGTTTCTGTTAATTTATTGGGGCGCGTACATCTATTGCGGTTAATATAGATTCTCTAAAGGCAGAAAGTAATCTTTTGAGAGCAAGGTTTTGTTGTAAATGACGTTTCATAGTGGCGACTTCTCTTTTTTAATGAGAATCAAGTCTACGCTACGAAACTACTCAATAAATTCAATAATTCTAAGCGTTTGTCTTAAAAACGTTGTGATGATTTATGTGATTGTTGTCTGAATAAAACTAAGTCCCTATTCAATCATCTTTGATCCTGTCTATTAGAAAAAATCCTATTTAAAGCATTTTTAAGATCGTCCCTTTTGAATATTAATTACTAACCTAGTATTACAACTTTTTTTCCCAGTTTACCTATTAATGTAATACAGTATTTTCTAGCATTTTATTAGCAAGATATTTCATTATTAATCTTCCGATAGTTTTTTCAAATATACACTATATAGTACAACAAATTGCCAGATGGCTTTCAAGAAAGAACAAGAAAGTTATCGATATTAAATCGAACTCAAAAAATTAAATCCGTGTGTATAGCTCAAAAATAAGCAGCAACAGACATTTTTTGACGCAAAATATTTTTTTCAAAATTTAGTAGTAGCGGTTTGTACTAGATTCAAAATTTCATGTTTTTAATTGTTAACACTGAACCAATCGTCCGGAAAAAAAATAAGAGATAAATGCGAACTTCAAAATTTCAAAAAATAATTTTTGGTTTAGGAAAAATCAGGGGCGCAATGTCAAAAAAATATCTAAAATGAATTCATAGGACAGAAGCAGATGACTGAGTGGCATTTGGGGAAAAGTGTGCATTTAATTTTGGATTTGTCACAAATTATTTTGCAAGAAATGAATACTTCCGTCGCACGATCATTTGGCAAATATGTACATTACTTAGGGAATTTAAAAAAACAGAACAATGAAACGTTATATTAGAAATTATTATAAATAATTATAAAAAAAAGAAAATTGAGAAGCAAAAGTGTTATCCATATGGAAAGTAGCCTTGTTGGCTAGTAACTTTGTAATAATCAACTAACAATAGTATAGCAATAAATTATAGTCTTAGACAGAAAAAAGGGAAAATGTTGAGAAAGTTAATAAAAATCGGAAAGTATTAAAAATACGTATATAACGTACTTAATAAAAGTTGTAGGATTTTGGAACATCTTCTAAATAAAAAGTTTAATATATATGGCGTGCCATTTAAGAAAATCGAGATTATTCAATTTAAAATGATCTAAATATATATGTTAGTTTAGGTATGTATTGGTATGGAAAAAAAAGTTGAATAATTTTAAAGGAATAGAAAAAAAATACAAAAGTAGGGTTTTCCATTTAAAAAAATCTGTGTTTTATTCGTCACACTTCTTTGGGCCACCCCGTATACTATTTGTGCATTCTAACAGTCTTCACAACTTTTATATTTTACATTTTCACATAACTTTTGAAACCAATGAAATCATCGTTGAGTCACCCTGTATTATCTAGAAATATATCATTATTATTATTATTATTTTCACGTTTAATTGAATTATGTGTATACATCAACAGAGAAAAATAGAAATAAAAGCTAAATTCTAAAAAATATAAGGCATTTTATATTATTGATTGCATAAAAGTAGTATTAAACACATTATTTTAAATTCTATAAAGACAATTTACAATAAATTAACGTTTATTCATCAAAAATAAGCAAAATAAAGGTTCACAATCGCTAAAAAAGCCGCTGCATGGGGTGATCGATTCAGTTTAAATTTGGCGCCGTGAGCCGCCTCGTTCTGATTGGTCGGCACCCTTAAAAAATAAACGCATGTTATTTGTTAGAAGTACCGAGACCTATATCGACGACGTCGATAAAGCACCACCTCTACCGAAAGCGCAAGAGACCAGCAACTTCTACCACGGCCTGGCGTAGTCCAGCAGCTAAAAGTATATCGTTCTTCGGTGTCGATCAAAGTTGGCGCTTGTCCGTCGAACGCGAGCGAAAGATACGGAAGCGCGCGACGCGGATTTCAAAGCCGACTCTTTTTTTACGCGAAAGTTTCGATTTTTGATTCGGGCGGGTTACGAAAAAAGTTTGAATTAAAAATCGCGCCGGTGACTGGTGTTGTTGGTCCTTTCGCGTTGTTTTTTTTTGCCGCTCAAAACCGAGAGGTTGCGGTATAGAATAATAATTGTTTCGCTCTTGTTGGTTTAATTACGTTTTTGCGAGTGATTTGTATCGCATTTTGGATTACTCGATATCCGGACGATTAAGGTAAGAAAAAAAATGCGAATTCGGTGGAAACTTCGATTTATCAAAAGATACTTCTTTTTTTGCAATGTGCAAATTGACTAAGTAGTTTTTAATAAAAAAAAAAACATACAATTTCAATAAGAAAAAGGGCATTGTGCTTATTTGAATACGAAAATGTCCATTAATAATATTTATAATCATATCATAAATACCGATTAAATATAATATTCATCGTTCAAAATTTTGATTGAATATATGAATTGTTATCTTAAATCCGATTTTAGTATTTTCTCAGTATTATCGATAACTTTAACGGCATTATCATTCGTGTTATGAAAGTTAACAATCAATATTATGAATAACGAATTTTTGACGCAAACTTTAAAACTTTCTGTGGAGTTAAACGTTTTTATTTGCTTATTGTCGTTTTGGATTAATTACTTTATTATGGCTGTTTGGCTGATGTGATGCCTTTTCCATTGATATTAGAAATGTGTCCCTTATTAGTAAGTTTAATACATTTTTTTTTTCAACATTTGAAGATTATGGAGATTAAATTATACACAATTTTGATTTGTTAACATTTTTAGAATTGATTGAATTATTGACATATCGATATCGATATTTTAATAAATTAAAACAAATAATAGTTTCGTTTTTTTTATATAAATATAGATATAAAATATATTGAAAATACTTTTTTATCGATTTTTACTTAGTAGTTTGGGAAATATCAAGCTTGTCCGCTAGACGTCCGTTCTCAAACGTTTTATAGTCGTCCGTGCTGTGGGCAAACTAGTGTTGGGGCCGGTCAATGGATCATTTCTTAATTGACTCGTCGAAAAATGTTTTAAATAACATCTCGCAATTGTAGAGCGTTATCTATCATTATTTATGTAATAATATATATTTTATATTAAATTATTATGCGTTCGTGATGTCAAATTTACCTATAACCCTATTCCAGGAATATCCGAATACGATGCAATGATAATATCGACTCCACTTTGATTTCCAGAACGATGCGACGGCAACGTAATGCACAATATAAATAAATAAATATAAATTTGGTGGTATTTGCTGGTCAATTGACCATCAGTTGACATAAGAATTTGAACGGCCACAGCCCTAAGGGTATTCAGTACTTCTATAAGGAATAGATATTTTTTTGTTTATTTTTTCGCAGTATTCCCCAAATTTTCTATGTTAACATATAATTCTTTCAATCGATAGTAACAAGTTCCAAAGGAACAAAAAGAATATAGTTTATGGAAGCATAATTAATGTATCTTTCTTTCCATCAGTTCCATAGCCACAATCATTCACTGAAAATTGCAATGTTTTTTTTTTTAAATCAAAGTTTTAAAAAACTCAATTAAAGGACAAACAAAGAGTTTAAGGCCCGCATCACTGCTAAAGTGTTTTAAATTTTACGTCAAAAATTACTTTCTATACCCACTATCGACAAGACTTCAAGAATCTGTTAAAAAAGTAATATCGACTCCCGAAATTTTTCAAAATATTGACTTTACAATTATTTTAATGGTGAATTTACTAGCAAAAATGTCACCCTGCTTTAAACTACATATTTTCTGCGTTTCAATTTAATCTAATGCCGTTCCACGAAAGTTTTCGATATGTAGGGCAGCTTGAATATCATTTTAATGGCATATTTAATGAATCGAAATCGCAAATCGAAGTAACGAATTTGGAAATTCCGGTAAATGTGTGTAATTAATAAAGCATTCGAATATTTGACCGTCCGATGTGGCAGTTAAGTGTACAGGTTGCAAATTATGTAGATATACTTAAAATTTAAACGTCAGTTTAGCAATGAGAAAAAAATCTGGTTCTGCTATAAAAACTAGTCAATTCACTGTTTATTTTTATTTCCACCAGTGGCTTCATATTTTGGAAAATATTATCCTATTTATTTCCTAAGCAAATCCGATCACGTAAAGTGACAAGAAATTGTTTGAAGCTATATTCTTCTATTGGGTGCAGCAGCACAAAGACATTTTTTGATCTTCGCAAAATTTATTACGATTCCATTTCTTTATTCTTAAATTAAGTGTTTCCCTTTAAAAGAAGACAGACACAGCTATTTGTTTTTTAAACTCCAACAAGAGACGTTAGTAATTATTGATGAATAAAAACATACAAAAAACAAAAAAGTCAACGTCATTAATGTGACATGGAGAGTTCCCGAAAATAATCAGTGTTAAACCCTTCAACGGACAAAAGTTGGCGCTGCCTTTATTTGAATTTATGAAAAAAAAACCATAAGGAAAGAACAGTCAAAACTGGTCTTCAATATGTGAAAAAAAATTAATCCATATTTAAAGGCATCAATATTCCCTATACACATTATTTTTTAATAACATCTTTGGCCAACTCTGATGTGCCATATTTTTATTTCCACCAGTGGCTTTCTTATTGCATACCTGCATATTTTTATTTTACTTCAGAGTAAATCCGATCATTTATTTTTTTTCGGCATATATGCGTTTTACAATTTAGCTCTTATTGCTATGATGTCTGTAAATAATAAAAATTAATAAATTGAACATAAGTAAACACTAGTTGAAGTATACAGTTATTTTAACGCCAATAAAATGTTTGTACATACATATAAAACCCAAATTATAATAAGTTTTGCTTCTCATTTGGAATGTAGGTTTACTTCTCAATTTTCTTTTTTTTATAGAAAAAAAATCAACATGCATTTCTTGCAAAATAATATCTAACAAATCCACAATAAAACCTACATTTCCAGTATCACAACCTCCCGAGTTTCCTTAAATTCAATCAAAACTCCTGCAGTTAATTTTTGATCATCTCTTTGCTTTTCAGCTCATTAGTTTATTCTAAATGACTTTCAGAAAACTTTACAGTAACAGATCCTTAAGTAAAATAAATAGATATTCTTTAATAATACAATTAGCTATTGAGGAAATATTTACCCTCGACTGAAGAACATGCCCCATGAATGTGAAAAAATGCTAAAAAATATTGTCACAATATTATAAATATACTTAATTCATTCATGCAACCTTTCTAAAAACTTCTGTTACACTCATATTCTATTTTTTTATATTTATCTTTTTATGTCCTCAATTTCAGTTTACTCATGGGCCTTCCAACCAGAAAGTTTTTCGAAATTCCTAAATTGCGAAATTCTTTTATAAGTATTTCAATGATTAATTAAGTCTGTATGAAATGGAAAAAAGTCTTCTTTGTGCATATTGAGCGATGATGTCCAGAGTTCTATTGTATCCTTTTTTCCTGATTTTATATATCCGCTTTTAGTTTTGGGTAGGTGCTTGAAAATTCCAAATTATTGTGCATACACCCTGTATAAAGTGTCTTTCAAGTCACGCCGAACCTCAAAGTTACGGCAAACTTCGTTAAATATTAAAATTTGTACAAACAATAGCGTTGTCGAATATTTTTTCAAATATCTCTCGCGCTCTGTGTAATTGATGAAACTTGAAACTCTCTCTCGACACAGTTTACGATATGGTTCAAATCAAATTATCGCATCTTTAGCAGTTTTTCATTTATCCCCAATAATTAACCCGCAAAAACGGAAATTTTGAGGATGTTTTAGATTTTTTTTGCTCACGAGCGACGCACCCTGTATATAATTCGATGAAATGCAAGTATTGACATCCATGCTTCTGCCAAATCTGAAGTCGGTAGCTGCAAACTTAAGGTACCTGTTAATTTTTGAATATAGCACTTAATATTTTGAACACAACCTTAAATACAAAAGTTTTGCGAAACGCGGTCTTTTAGTTATAATAATAATTTTCCAGTTTCCAGTTTTTTTTTAATTTGCGGCGCAGCCTGTACATTTTCAAAAAATTGTCAAGAATAGAAGTTTATGGACCCGAATCTGCTGGTATTGTAAATGTTTTTTGAAAAATGTTTTTTTTGTAGACCCTTGCAAACGCGATTTTTAATTTTTTTAAAAAACTTCCCGACCCCACAGCCCAACCAATTGTCAACAGGTTCCATCACGGGGTCAAGCTGCATGTATGCGTTAAATATGAAGTCGATTGCTTCAAATGCTTCAAATTTCAGACACTTATCGTGTTTCATAGCAATGTTCAAAAAACATTCCAAAATCACCAAAAAAAAGGTGGATACCGAGGTCGGATCGAGGCCATTTTTTATAAGCTAATCTATCTCGTGGCAAAAAGGGAGGCAAATTTCAGGAAAAATTAAAAGACGCGAACGGATAATGGACAGACAAAACAAATTTTTTTTTCGACGCTGGTCATATAGGAGATATAAAATTGTTATACGAACGTAGATACTTTCGAAAAATAACAAAAAAAGTAACAAGAATTTTAGGACTATGCTTTTCACCGTCTAAACGTTTCGGTGACGATTATTTCTATGCACGTGTAGAAATCAATGTACGAAGTGACTCCAGGAATTCTCGCCTACCAGGTAGACGAGGGCGAGGTCCTTTTCAGAAAACAGGTACATAAAGTTAGATAGGGGTGGAGCGCATGTCAGATTTGGCAGCGGGTGGGCCGAATCTACCTGACCCTTAAAGAAAATTCAACTCGAAGAAAATTTATTGAATTCTGGTCGTCAATGTGATTCCACGAAACCCTTGTAAACATTTTCGGTGTTCGTTTACGAGTTTGAAAGATAACTAATTCTCCGAGAAATGCGGCAGGTTCCAAAAGTCGATAGGAAAAGGCAATAAATTGAGGAAATATTGTCTGCGCTTCAAATCGTTCGGACATTTTATTAGATAACGAGCCGTCGAGCGGGGAATTTAGTTTGCTTCACGGTTTAGCTTCCGCGTTACGTTGCGTAACTGACCTAAAGATCGTTAACGATCCTCATAGGCATCTCCATAAGAGCTGCCTACCATAGTTAAACGCCAATAAGGAATTTAGATATTTACGTTATGTTTCCATTAAGATCAACCATCTCGAGGAGTAGCCCAACATAATTGTTCAATTTCCGATGATAATAATTGTTGAATGGTTTTTCAAGCC